TTTTCATAATTTTCTCAGTCAATTTCTTTCTTATTTATAATGTGTCTATTAATTAAGGAGGAGAGGGATTTCCCCCTCTCCCTTTTTAATAAGTAAGTGTTATTATTAATTATTACCTTGTTCAATATGAGAATGAGTACTTAAATGTTCTAACTGAGCATTCATCAATTTTTCTACTTGTTTTTCCAAAGTTTCAATTCGTGCATCTTTCTTTTCAATCCGTTCATCTCTATTCTCTAGTCGTTGTTTAAAATCTTTGCTTTGTTCCTCTAATTGTTTATCTCTTCTTGCCACCTGTTGTTGAAGGGTTTCAATGTATGTTTCGCTTGCCTTAAGTTTTTCTTCCAGGGGTTTAGCTTTATCGTGAAAAATATTAAAAAAACCTTCAGCAACTTTTGTTAAATCGCTCATGCCTTCCTTAATCAAATCTGCTGTATTATCCGCAATGTGTTCGGAAAAATCTTTTAAGTCCTCCCTAGCATTGTCAACTTTATCAATAGTTTTGTCAACAAAATGTCCTCCGCCTGCTACTAATATAGTAGGTATACTTCAAATACCACCACCTAGGGCACCTATACTAGTACCAATTAGCGGCATAGCTTTTTCACCTGACTTAGTACATGACATGATAAGCCCATTTTCTCCGTTTATGCTTTCACTAATTTTTCCAATCACTTCTGAATAATTTGATGAGTTTGATTTTCTTGAAGCCTCAATCACAGTGTTTTGAAGTCCTTCTAATTTTGCTTTATACTCACTTCGTTCTTTTTCTAATTCTTCACTAAGTTTTTTTAAAGCTTGCTTCACTTTTTCCGGACCTTGGTTAGGAAATAGAGCTCTTCATTCAACTAATTCTTCCAACTCGCTTCCTTGCCCAAGAGTAATATCTCCTGTCTTGCGTGTTACTAATGCCAAAGAATTTTCTAACTCCATTATTTCATTGAGGCCTTGCTTGATATTGTTTAAAACTATCTTAACTCTACCTCACCCCAATTCATTAGAAAGAGCGTTATCTATCTTGTCTCTGAATTCTCCTACTTTCTTATCTACTTCCTGTTTTCCTTCAGCATTTTTTTTAACTTTTATGAGTCCATCATCAATGTCTGCTAAAAGTTGTTGAGTTTCCTCCTCG